ATCAGCATCACCAGCATTGTCATAGTGATGATTTATTCCGTTCTTAGTATGGACCAGTCTTCGTGCTGAGCACATCGGATGTATTTGTTCCTTTAATTGTCAGAGGCTGTGTGGTAGATACTGCTATTATCATTATGTTGCAGATATGAAGACTGAGTTTCAAATAGGTTACCTAACTTGTGCCTGGCTCCAGGGTTGGTACTCCTAGCCATTAAAACATATAACCTCCATATTAATTTCTTAGGGTTTCCACAGCAAATCATCACAGACTGGCGGGCTTAAAACAGCAGAGATTTATTCTCTCACATGTCAAAAGGCCAGAAGCCTGAAATCAGGGTGTTGGTAGGCTTGCTTCCCTCTGGAAATTCTGAGGGAGAATCAGTTCCCTGCCTCTTGCCTAGCTTCTGGCGGCTGTCAGCTGTCCTTGGCTTGTAGACACATCACTCTGATCTCTGCCTCCATCTTCCCATTGCCTGCGTCTCTGTCTCTGGGTGTTTCTCTGTTCCTTTCCTCTCGTTATGAGATACCAGTCACTGGATTGAAGACCCCACCTGGGCAGTATGTTTCACTTGATCTTTACCTTGTTTACATCTCTAAAGACTCTATGTCCAAATAAAGTCCCAACCTCAGGTTCTGGGGGACATGAGTTGGGGGGGCGCTGTTGAATCCACTACAGTTTCCTGTATTGTGTTTGTTCAGAGAGCTCCCATGTTATCACACATCAGCATGGACCCCACCTTAGAATGGAGGTACAGTATTCCCTTCCTCTGTTGGTGGACATTTAGGTTGGAGGGGGCCACACCCAGGACCGGGTGCACAGCACACAAAGGCACTCCCTTCTCTGGGCTGACTGAGGTGCCTTGCTCAGAGAGCTGAGCAGGGGCTGAATTTCAGCCTCCACTTACCCCTTTGCTGTCACCTTTGTGCAGAGCACAGCCTATGTGTGGAACGTGGTCGCTCAGATCTGACAGACCTGAACCTGGGATGACTTGTTACTGTTCTAGAATATTTAAGAAGCTCCGTTCTGCTTTTGGCTTTTCTGTTTCACAGTAGGAAGTGCACAGTGTCTGAACTGAAAGAGACAGTAGATAAAGCCTGTTACACAGGAGGAGAGAATAATTATCCTATTCTGTATTAACTTGCTGTTTATTGATTCACAAAGCATAGTTGAAATCGGTTAGTTTTAAGTCTAGGAAATAAGGATCTAGAAGTTTTAATCAGCTTTGCTACACATGAGGACAAGATCTCAAATTTCTTGACTTCCCTCACGACCTTGATTGCATCATGCTGACTCCGACAGCGCCCTGCTCTAGCTGAGACATAATCTTTGTTTTAAAATGTTTGTTGTCAGGAATGTATTCATCTTTTTATGTCTATATTCTAAGTTCTGTTGAAACTACCTAAACCTTTCTTCTTTTCTTTTGAACTTTGCTTTGATGAATTTTTTTGACCACGTGAAATAAATCGTAAATACAGCTTTCTTAAAATGACCGCCTTTCTGCCTGTCTTTATAAAATATTCATCTATTACCGAAGTACTCTGGTTGCTGTGACAAGCCTGATGTTTTTATAGCTTATATTTTAAAGGGCAGAGGAGGAAAAATACAGCATCTTCTTATTCTGAAATGCAAATAACTTTTTTGAATACTTTTTTTTTCATTTTGTAGAGGAAAAGTTCAGTTAATTTTCTAAGGACTAAAATAAATTCAAATAAAATAAGAATTCAAGACTATAGTCTAATTAGTAGACCAAAATTCTCAGTGTTTGCTTTCTCCCCAGATAGTCTCATGCCTCCTTGATGGCAGAGAACACACCTGATTCCTCTCTGTATTCTCTGGAGTTTAACATAATGCCAACCATACATCTGGCTACTAATAAATTCATGTTGGTTGAATGAATGGAGCAACCGCCCTCTGTCCTTGCCTTTATCCATTCTGCTCCTACAGTCTCTGAACACACTGCACCCCTTTCTATCTCCATACCTTTGCTGCAAATGATTTTTGTCCAGTCATCCCCTCCCCAAGTTCCCACTCATCTTTTAAGACCAGCTCAAATGTCACATCCTCTGTGAAGCATTTTTCAAGGGCAAGATGATGCCTCATTCATCTCTCTGTCCCCAGTGTCTGGCAGAGAGTCAAAGTTAACTAAATGTATATTGAATAAGTGAGTGAGTGAAGAGAAGGAACCGAGCTAGGATCCTATCACAGATGAGAATGTGGGCTTTACGGTCTGACAAACCTGGATTCATAGCCGTGCTTCTTGGCTTACAGCTCTGTGACCTTGGTCAGTGACCTCATCACTCTGAGATGTTGTTTGCTTGGTATAAAATGAGCATAAGGAAAGCATCTGACTCAAAGGGTTCTTGGGAGAGTAAACTGAGATCCTATAAATACAAGTTTTCACCCAACAAGTGCTAAATAGGATAGTCCAACATGGATAGAACTTTTCTATGGGTTTCCTCTGATTGTGCTAGAGATGTTGCAGTCTGGCTGAGTCTGACTAACCTCAGTGTGATCACGTAAGACAGAAATACTTTGGCGGGAGAGCCTTGGAACTGTCATAACCACCAGCCCATTGTCCTTCCAAACTAAATGGAGTAAAACTACAAAAAAGCAGACTTCAACTAACTGGAAAATACTAGTTGACTAGACTTTCCCTTGCCACTTGAGTTTTAGGAGAAAGACAAACCACAAAAAAGAAAAACTAGTGTAAAGGTTTTTAAAAATACAAAAACCTTATAAGTAACTTGTAGGGGATGATGTTAGAACTACCTTCAGCCCAAACTTCTGTACCTCTGCATAGTGGCAGATGCACACCGTGGGGACTGAATGCAGCCTGCAGACTGGGGATTTGGTCTAAGGCTGTTTAAAAAAATTGAAATGGATGAAGTCAGTCAAAATGTACTACAAACTTTCAGTTTTAAGTAAGTACCAGGTATATAATGTACAATATGATAAATACGATTAACACTGCTGTATGTTATATATGAAAGTTAAGAGCATAATCCTGAGTTCTTATCACAAAAAATTTTATTCTACTTCTTTAATTTTGTATCTGTATGAGATGATAGATGTTTGCTAAACTTATTGTGATAATTATTTCATGATGTAAGTCAAATCATTGTGCTGTGCACCTTAAACTTAATGCTGTATGTCAATTATATCTCAGTAAAACTGGAAGAAAACGTTTTGAAATGAATGTCAACGTGAAAAAAACTACCATGGAAAATTTTAAATATATACCAACTTAGAATGATTAGTCTAATAAACCTGCATGTAACAATTGTTCAGCCTCAGTAATTAGCAGTACTCTTCCGTTCTGTTCCAGCCCTCCTCTCCTTTTTGTTTGTTTGTTTTGCTGGAGTATTTAGAAGCAAATACCAGATATCATATCATTTTACTCATAAATAGTTCAATATGTATCTCTATCAGATAAAAACTGAAATGAGTGTAACTATAATTCATTACCACAAACAACAAAATTAAAAATAATTTCATATGATCTAAAACCTCGCCTGTGTTCAGTTTTCCCTGATTGTTACCAGTAAAATCTTTTTTGTAGTTTTGTTTGAATCAGAATCCAAACACAGTCCACAAATTACACTTGTTGGCTATGTGTCTTAAGTCTCTTAATTTGTAGCAGTTCTCCTCATTTGTTTCCATGCCATTTACTTCTTTAAGAATTTTTAAATTGATAAATATTTCACAAAGCCGTGGATTTGTGAAAGACCTGACAGCACTGGCTTATACGCCCATCGGGCCACATGTGGCCGCAGCTCAGCGGAGGCTGTGGTCCTTAGACCATGCAAGTGCCTCCAGGCCTCCACGGGTCACAGTCCCTGTTGTGCCAACTAGCTTAACTCCTGTGTTGCCTACCCAGCCCCATGGGCATTGTGCTGGCCACCTCTGACCTACATATATGTATCTGTTGGGCAATGAGAACTGAATCCTGGATGAGGATTCGAAGCTCTAAACACCCATGGTCATTAAGTCAGTTTCATGCACTATGTTCCTTAGGCAGAAATTGTAAAAGCTTTCAGTGAAGAATAATCAACAAAAGATTTTTTAAAAAATCCTTACTTAGCTTGAAACTTCATTAATTGGCATCTCTCTTTTCTTGAGTATTCTTGCTCATCTGCTTTACAGTCTTCTATCCCACAAAGGCCACCGGACAGGGTGGCCCAAACTTTAGCCTTGGTCCTCTGTGGCAAGTGGGCCACTGCATAGGTTTTATAAGACACCTTGCAGAGTGCGGGTAATAACAGCCTACCTCTCAGCATTGTTGTGAAGTTCAAATAAGGTAGCAGATGTGAAGTTAACTTGGAAGCGCCATAGCTCTATACTTAGACGAGGTATTACTATGCATAGCGATGTATCGAACTATGCATAACATCCTCTTTCACACCCCCGTGCATTTAATTGCTCTCTCTCCATGGAATGCCTTTAAGAATTAACTGCTAGTCAGTCATCTGTGGTCCCCAAACAGTTCATGCCTACTTACTTGTAACATTTGTTGCACTGTATTAAAGCCCTTTTTTTGGTACATCTTTGTCTTCTGCAAGATTCTAGAATCAACTGCGGTTTATTCAGTGTTTGGCACACAGCAAACTCTCAGTAATTGCCTATTGAACTGGATAGTATTGATTTGAATAATTATTATGTGTGTGCTTGTCGTGAAGGACAAAGTCTATGTTGATACAATTCTTTAGGTATGTCATCTTGTAACTAATCAATATTGGCTCTTGTTAAAAGCTTATGATGAAGATGATAATGATGAAATATTTATAAAGATATTTTTGTATTTTTTATTTAAGTGACCAGACATCTTAAGTATATTATTAGTAATTTAAGTTCATTAACAATAAAAGAACCTAAATGTAGAATGCCTATTATTAAGAGAAACTTTTTTTCCTGCTGGAGAAAACTTAAGCTCCCTGTCATCATTTTGGGCCCCCCTTATCTAGTTGTCTTCATTAACTCAGGGCTTCTTGTTCTTTTACAGCTGGTTTGCCATCCACCCAGTCAGCATGAACAACAGCAATCATCTTGTAAACAGTGACAATGTGGGTTATGCATCTTACCTTTTTGAGCAAGAGAAGAACAAAGGATATCTACCAGGAGAGGTGAGAAGTTATGTCATTGAAAGCTTCATCTAATTCATGGAGTATTGTCATTCATGCAGTGTTCAGAACAGCTGATTCAAATCTTCAGAGTAAAGTGTCATCATGAATGTCACATACTGATATGTTTAGATAGAAAGAACTCTCCATCCTCCCTAATAGGGAAAGAAAAATTTTAAATGACTATTAATGTGATGTCAAATACTAGTTATATTGATGACTTCATTAAGTTGCAATTAGTTGGATAAAGAAAGGCAAATTCAAGATTTTTGCAATATATAGTAGTCTTTGATCAACTTGGAAATATGATAAACTGTGTTGATATTTTACTTTAGTTTTCAGAGCTATAAAAAGTATGAAGTACCTTCCTAATGGTATAAAGATCTGAATGAGGACGGGGATGAATTCTTTTCTCTCTTCCAGACTTCCCTCTTAATTTCCATTCAAGGACTTGGTTCTACTATCCTGCAATATAGCCTAAGTCAGATTAACCCTAATCCACTAGACTTGTGTTTGTAACTTTGAAACTGAGTGAGCAATGGGATCAGAGATAGGGGGCCAGGAGCCCTGTCCATGCACTTCAGGAAGCTTGTCAGCCCTGTGTTAATGATAGACCCCAGATAGATTAAGTGGCAAGGGAGGACCCTTCTCTGCTTGGACCCCAGCACCCAAGCTCCAAATGCAGAAGAATATATGATGGGATGAGAGCTCCAAGCTCTTGCCTGGAAGTATTCTATTATAAAGATATTAGCCCAATGAACGTTTGGTTTCTTAGTTCTTTTGTTGACAAAACTCTTTTTTTTTTTCATTTTAGCCTGTGTTTTAGGGGGTTTGTATTTTCTTTTTAGTGTTTAAAAAAAAAAGATCTCTTATACTTGCTTATCTCTTTCCCTAAGAAAGTTTAAGACATTTATGTGTGGAAGGTAGACCAGTTGGTTGAGGTTAAGGTCTTGCACTACTCTAAAAGATTATGTGCTGTTATTTCAGTTGAAAAGTTAGAGAAAAGATACGTGGAGGACAAGTCTGGATGGTGGATGCTATAATTAGGTTCAGCTTTGCAACAGAAAAATCAAGATGGACTCTTTGCTTTTTAAGCCAATAAGATATTTATTTTTAAAGAGAAAAGGAATCTCTGAGCTCCAGGTACAACACCAGAGACTAGATTGATGCATCTGCATTTTATAACTTGTTGGGCAGTGCTTCTTGTCAAAATGTTTCTATTTGAGACACATTTGAAACAGCTTTATTGATAATTGAAATATCATGAGTAATAATATGTATGCTTTCTGCAATGTGAGTCTTTTCAGAAGTAAAAATTTTTCTCAGAATATAGTATCTCCTCCTTTTTACTATATGCAGATAATTTTGAGCAGTCCACCAGAGTGGGCTGAATGTTTGCTTTTTTAATGGAACTCATTACGGGTAATAAAAAAGAATAAAAGGCAGGTGTGTTTCCCTTGGCAGGGACCGTATGTAGCAGCTTTTGCGTCATCAAACCTGGGAGATGTGTCCCCCAATATTCTTGGCCCACATTGCATCAACACAGGAGAGTCTTGTGATAACGCCAATAGCTCTTGTCCTGTTGGTGGGGTAAGTAATTATGAAATCTTTTTTTTTTGCATCTCGTGTACATTTTATGTTTAAATATTCATCATATTCACTATTAATTTACAATTATGTTTTCCTCAAGTGTACTCTGGCCTACTTCCTGGTACCGTTTGCTCTTCTCAAAAGCATCCATTAAATTTTGATTGGGTAAAATTGTAGTTTTCCCTTTGGTAAGGTTTTTGAATGGTAAGACAAGTTAGTAAATGTCAGAGATTAACTATCCTTCCCCAAACTTGGACAGACTGAAACATTTTGTCTTGGCATTACTGAAGTCACAACTTAGTACCAAAAACTGCCTGCCTGAGACATTTTACACTGATTATAAAATTTTTAAGGTTTTCTAAAAATATAAAATCAAAATTTTTTCCTTTCTTGAAAATTAAAAAAAAAATCTTGCTAGAAAAACTCAAACCACGTGGAAAGCATAGAGAGCAGTAAAATGTGAAAGTCCCTAATCCCTCCCTCTTCTCTCACCCTCCCCTTTTCCCAAAAGTTACTACTACTCTCACACCTCTTCCTTCGTTTATGCATTCATGAACGACAATTTATAACTTATTTATTGATTTTTTTTATTGGTCCAGGATTTGAGTTTTCTCCCTAATTTGTCTTAAAAAAAAATCTCTGAGGAATAAGAATTCTTTTTAGTCCATGTCAATTTAAGTCATATGTCCATTCCTGGACCAAGACAGTTGCTGGAGAAACGGTGTGTGTTGATTGGCTTACACTGGGTTCCTGACCAGTCTTTGGCAAAGCCTGGGGAATTACCATGACACCTTCGCCTCGTCTGGAATTAGGGATGGGACCATTGACTGCAAGGGGAGAGATGGCGCCCTGAACCAAATCAGGATTCCTTCAAGAAAGAGAAAGAGGGAAATGGGCAAATGTTGCCATGTCTTCTGTTTGAATGTGTTTTCTTTAAAAATAATTTTTTAAACTCAGAAAACAGCTTTAATGGTTTTTAGAAGATGATCTATGCTTGTTAAAAATTCACACAGTAGTAAAAAGCTCAGGAAATAAAACTTACGTAAAGAACCCCTTCGTCCCACCATTAACCTGGTAAAATTTTAATGAAGATCTTTCCAGACAACTTTTTATGAATCCATGCATGTAGATGTATGTACAATTTTACATAAATGGGATCATATTGTAATACTGTTTTAGAACTTGCTTCATCATTTCCAATAAATATACTTTAAAACATCATTTAAACTAACTTTGTATGTTTTCATTTTAAGCATTATAATTTAGTTAACCAGTCCCCTACTGGTGAGTATTTTCTTCCCTTTCTTCCCTTTTTTCCTGTCACATCCTCTCTCCCCTCTTTTTCTCTTCCTTCATGTAAATGTGCTATGTTCACTGTACTTGTCCTATATATTTTCACATGTGTATTTCACCTTTGGACAAATTCTTAAAAGTCAGTTTGCTGTCAAAGAGGAAGCACCTCATACGCTCCCCACACACTGCCCAAATGCCTTCTCAGTCACATTTCCACCCACAGGGCCTGAGTGACGCTGTCCCCAAACTCTCACCACCACCTGGTCTGTCAAGCTTGCAATTTTTGCCAGTGCAAGTGCAAAGAATTCTCTCTTTATAGTTTAAGTTTATATTCAATTATTCATGAGATTGAACATACAATGTTGAATGGCCATTTTATATTTGTGTGTGTGTGTGTGTGTGTGTGTGTGTGTGTGTGAATTACCTATTTCATCTGTATCCATGGTTCTCCATTGGGATGGTTTCTCTTTTTTTTTTTTTTTTTTTTTTTGCTTTTATTTTTTCCCCCAGCTTTATGGAGATACATTGACGTAACATTGTCTTAAGTTTAAGGTGTACAATGTGATGATTTTGATACACATATAGGATGCTTTTTACTGCAAATAGGAGAATATCCAACTCAATATGAATGAATCAAAAGGTATTAATAAGGATATTTTTTGTATTGACTTTTTAAAGCTCCTAATATATTAAAGTCTTAGTTTATCATAAACTGTGCATACCCGTTCCCCAACCCCCAATTTACCCATTGTCTTTCAGCCTTACTAATGTTTTTCCCCCATATAGATGTTTAAAATATTTAAGCTGTCAACTTTATTAAGTGTGTTTTATGCAGTTTTTAGAAGGGTCTTTCACACTATTGGACTTTAAAATATATTTACCTGTATTTTCTTTTAATCTTTTTTTGGTTCCATTTATAATATTTAAGTATCTGATCATTGCAAATTTCTGATATAGGAGCCAGATTTATTTACTGGTTTTTTCTCCCTAGAGGGTCAGCTAGTTGTCACAATATAGTTTTAATTGAGTTTCAGTTGAAGGTGGTCATGGGCAAGAATGAGCAAATAGAAAGATGTGTAGCCAGTGGGAAGACTTGGGTTTAGGTCTTCGCTCAGATCCTAGCTTCCTGTATAATCTCCAGCAAATCTTCTAACTCACCTGAGCCTCAGTTTCCTTATTTTTAAAAGTAAGTTTCCAGACTAGGTGATTTCTAGCAACATTCACTGCTCTTATTTCATGAATGATTTTGTTTTTCATAACCTGTAAACTGAGAAAACATCTGAAAAGAAATGCTGGAATGTGGCTTTAAAAAAAATCTATCTGCTGGTGGGTAAGGGTATAGCTCAAGGGGTAGAGCACATGCTTACAATGCAGGAGGTCCTGGGTTTAATCCCCAGTAACTCCTTGAAAAATAAATAAGTAAACATAATTACCTCCCCCTCCAAAAGCAAAATCTGTTTGCTGAGATTCACTTGTAATTTTCCATTCCTTAAAACAATCGCTTCTTGCACTAAGAATAACTCTCGTTGTGTTTTGTTGCAGCCTAGCATGTGCATTGCTATGGGACCTGGAGAGGATATGTTCGACAGCACCCAGATCATAGGGCAGATGTTGTATCAGAAAGCAAAGGTGAGCTGCGTGCCCCGCTTCTTTCATCTTCATTCTGAATTATTCTTTAAATCTGCTGACTTTGTTCGTTAAGAAGTCAATGATTGTAAGGAAGACAGCAAGAGCTCAAGCTGCACCAAGGAGTCTGGAAGACTGAACGCTGTTTGCTGTCAGCTAGGAAGGCTGCTTCCCCAAATCCCACCGGAACCTCTCTCCAGCTGTTTGGGTCTGACTTCTTATAGGAAGTACATTTAAAAGCAAGTGAGCAGAAAAACGTTCTATTTCAGCCAGAATGCTTGCTTCAGATGGTGAGATGATGGACTATAAAGTTTTCAGTTCATGTGGTATCAGGTATGACCAGCCTGATCCAGATTGTCGGAAGTTTCTCAGGCCTTTGCCTGCCAACTCACCTGACTGTTTCTTAACTCCTCCTCCAGTGGCAAGGTAAAGCTGAGTGGACACAAATCCTAGCTCTTACGATTTGGATTCTAATTACTTCCTTGTCTTTTTGGATATGGCAAAGATCATCCATCTTACATTTTTCTCTACTTTTCTTTTTAAAAGATTTTTTGATGAAGAGAGAATCTGGTCTCCGGGTGAGCTTGCTATGAGTTACTCTACCCTCCTTCTTCTCAATTTCATCTTCCGTTTTGCTTAAATATTTTGTATCAGCTCCTGTGGTGAAGACATTTCTGATTATAAAGACAAAGGATGGCTTTGAGCTGAGGCATCTCTGATGAAGACAGTTAAATCTCTTCCTTTTTATAGCTTACCCATATGTTTAGTGTGCCTGAGTGCACACTTGTGTGTGCACGTGTTGAAGTAAATACTTTCTCTCAAGGGTTTCAGAACATTTCAGGAGCAATTAAGGAAGAACAAAAGCACCTTTAAAAACATCAGACACCAGCCAGCCTAACTGCTGCAGTTTCTTTTTAATTACTGTGGTATTACCAGTGGATTGTTCTAAATTAACAGATTCTATTTAGGGTGTGCGCCTGTGACGCAATTTGGTGTCAGAAATTTTCTTACCTTTCTGGGCCTGGGAGCCACAGAGATTTGTCCCACATTCTGGATTCTCTTCGCAGCCAGGCACAGCTTCCCTCTTAATGAGGGGAGGCAGGCTGCAGCTGGTGTCACTGACAGCTTATCTGGAGAGTTCCCGAGTGGCTGTGGAAACCGAGATGGCTATGGAGTGGAAATGAGCTAGGTGTCAGGCAAAGGCACTTGTGCTGAAGCAGGTTGTGCCTTGATTGCATGATCCAGATCAACTGAAAAAAAAACCCAAATGTTCCTAAACAACCTTGGACACATTTCCCATAAGATTAAAAAAACATCAGTTGACCACATTGGAGGAAAAAAAAAAAACAGGGAAAGGTGAACAGTGGGTGGGGGAGCTGATGCAGGTAAATTAGGGCCTGAAGCTTTTCAAGCTTGGGCACTAGCCCTGCCAGGGGACTCACAGACTCTGAGAGGGAAAATTCCACGAGACTCCCAGAGGATACACTCTTGTTCTGCCAAAGAAGGGAGTTTGGACCACTTACTCCTAACCTTAAATTTTCTTGACTGTCTTTCAAGTGAGGCTGGGGCCTTTTGTGTTATAATCCACGTCAGTGGAATTTCAGATTTGTGGGGAGCAGACAGGTCAACAGTCCCAGGGCCTTGAAGTTTCTGGGAAACAACTAGGGGTTTAGGTAGAGCGATCCACATATTCTTTCTAATCAGCCAGCAAAACAAGACTTGGCTGAGAGAAGCTTCTCCAAATTGGTGCTTCTCAGGGAGTGCTGATAGTATTCATTTTAGCTTTTAACGCTAAGCCTGTGTGGGTTTTCTAGGAACTGTATGCCTCCGCCTCCCAGGAGGTAACCGGGCCACTGGCTGCGGCTCATCAGTGGGTGAACATGACGGATGTCACCGTCTGGCTCAATTCCACACACACAGTAAGTGTCACTTACTGATCACCCTGATTATGCCCCAGGGGTAAAGCTCTGGGCTGATCTCTTTATTCACTTGAAGTTCAGCTTCTGTTTCTTTTGTTTTTAAAATGTTTCCTGTAGGCAAAAACGTGTAAACCAGCCTTGGGCTACAGCTTTGCAGCTGGCACAATCGATGGAGTTGGAAGCCTCAATTTTACTCAGGGTGAGGTGCAGTCTGATGAGATTCAGGGTTCCAGGTTCTGAACTTCAGGGTTCTGTTTCCTAATGGGGTTTAACTGTGGCCAATACATCGACTATTTTTATTTTTAAATTTGAGGGTAGGCAGGCTTTCGAGGTTTGTACAGACCTTCTTTGTCTCTTGTTACAGTTTTTGACTTAAAAGTCTGTTTTATCTAAGTATATCTACTCCTGTTCACTTTTTGTTTTGCATCGAATATCTTTTTTCCATTCCTTCACTTTGAGCCTGTCTGTGTCCTTAAAGCTCAGTGGGATTCCTGTGGTTGGCTCCTTTTGTCCTTTTCCAGTCAACTACTTTATACCTTTTGTATGAAGAGTTTAATCCATTTTTACGTAAAGTAATTATTTATAGGTGAAGAGTTACTAATGCCGTCTTATAATTGTTTTCTGGCTATTTTGTTTTCCCCTTGTTCCTTTCTTCCTCTCTTACTGCCTTCCTTTGTGATTTGGTCATTTTCAGTAGTGGTAGGCTCTCATTCCTTTCTCCTTACCTTCTGTGTATCGACTATAGGTATTTGCTTGGCTTACATAAAACACCTTATTTTAAGCTGACAATTTAACTTTGATTACATACAAAAAGTGCCCTTTTATTTCCTCTCCTCATATTTAAGTTTTTGATGTCAAAATTTACATCTTTTTATGTTGTATATCCATTAAATTACTGAAGCTTTATTTTAATACTTTTGTCTCTTAACCTCCATACTAGAGTTAAATGGTTTATACACCACTATTAAAGTATTAGAATATTCTAAATGTGACTAGGTACTTACCTTTAGTAAGATTTTATATAGGCACACCTAAGAGACATTGTGGGTTTGGTTCCAAACCACTACCATGAAGTGAATATTGCAATAAAGCAAGTCACATGAATTTTTTTTGGTTTCCCAGTATTATGTTTAACACTGAACTGTAGTCTATTAAGTGTGCAATAATATGTCTAAAAAATGTACTTACCATAATTAAAGGTACTTTATTGTTAAAAATGGTAATCGTCATCAGAGTCTTTAGGAAGTCATAATCTTTTTGCTGGTGGAAGTTTTCGCCTCAATGTTGATGGCTGCTGATGGAATAGGGTGGTGGTTGCTGAAGGTTGGGGTGGCTGTGGCAATTTCTTAAAATAAGACAGCAATAAAGTTTACTGAATTGGAGTCAGTCCTCTCAAACCCTGCTACAGCTTTATCAATGAAGTTTACATGACATTCTAAATCCTGTGTTGTTGTTTCTATGATCTTCAGAACATTTTCAGGCTCAGAAGATTTGACCTCAAGAAACCACTTTTTTTGCTCACCCATAAGAAGCAACTCCTCATTTGTGAAAGTTATCATGAGATTGCAACAGTTAATCACATCTTTAGGCTACGCTTCTAATTCTGGTTCTCTTGCTATTCTCACCACATCTTCAGTTACTTGCTCCGCTGAAGTTCTGAACCCCTCAAAGTAATCCATAAGGAAATCACTTTCTTCAAGCAGCTGTTAACATTGATATTTTGACTTCTTTCCATGAACCAAAGTGTTCTTAGTGGCATCTAGAATGGTAAATTTTTTCCAGAAAGTTTTCAGTTGACTTTTCCAGGATCCATCAGAGACATCATTATAACATGGCAGCTATAGCCTTATGAAATGTATTTCTAAAACAGTAAGACTTGAAATTGAGAATTACTCCTTGATCCACGGTCTTGTTAACAGGCATGAAAACAACATTAATCTTGTACAGCTTTATAAGAGAACTTGGGTAACCAGATGTATTGTAGGAGAGACATTTGTAGCAGTAATCATTGGTTGCTTCATTCATAAAAGCTGCTGGTGTCCTCTGGGGTCTGCACTGATGAACAGGGTCCTGTTTTGTGAAAATTGCAGGGAGCCTGTTGTAGAGGCTTTGGAGGTCCTCAGTGGCAAGAGCAGCCAGGGTCCTCCACAGAGCAGGCTACTGGGGACCATGATGGCACCTGTTATGTGGCTGATACTGATAGCTTCTGCTCTTCTTTGTTCCTAAGTGTCCTGAGAAGTCTCAACTAAGCCAGTCTCCCCAGTGATCCTTTCCATGTGGTAATTTTGGTTTTTGCTCCACTGTGTCGCTGCAGATTTTTAATTGGACTCGTGGGCTCTCCCAGGGCTATTTTCATTTGTGGATAGCTAATTATTATATTCTGTGGGAGGGGAATGAAAGCTTGTTTCTTCCACTTTTCTGTCTTGCTGATGTCACTCTCCTCTTTCTTAATATGGGCATTTAAAGCTATAAATGTCCCTCTGAGAACTTCTTTCACTGTATTCTATAAGTTTTGGTATATGTGTCTTCATTTGTCTTCATCTTAAAGTGTCTTTATATTTTCTTTTGATTTTTTTGACCATTAGCTATTTATAATCATGTTGCTTGATTTCCGTATATATGTGAGTTTCCCAAATTTTCTTCTTATTTATTTCTAATTTCATTACATTGTGGTTGAAAATAGGCCTTGTATTATTGATACTTTAAAAACTTACTGCGGTTTGTTTTATGGCCTGTTTTGGATAATGTTACATACACTCTTGAGAAGAATGTATAGTACATTGTTGTATGGAGTGGTCTGTAGGTGTCTGGTAGGTCTAGCTGGCTTCCAGTGTTATTCAAGTCTTATATTTCCCTGTTGATCTTCTCACTAGTTGTTCTATCTGTTATTGAAGTTCCAACTGTTATTGTTGATTGTTTCTTCCTTTATTTCTATCAGTTTTGGTTCATGTATTTTTGTGCTCTCCTATTACGTCCATTTATGTTTATAGTTGTTATAGTTTCCTAATGGATAATAGATTCTAAGCTCTTAGGTTTTGTAGTTAACTAACTTTCCCCCAGATTGTGGATTTTAGGCTTGGTGGTGGTTTTTTATTGCTCGCATGTGCTTGTGTGTGTGTGTACAGAACTGAGTGGAGGTTCAAAAGAGTGTCTTTAGGGACCACAAGTCAAAAAACTGGTACTTCAAGTTTTCAAAATAGGACAAAGTTGAGTTGATAGATCTACATTTAATTATATCATATTGTTTTTATTTCCAACATGGTTGAGGATGAGCAATAGAAACAAAACTTTAAGGATGTAGAACAATATATATATTCTTTTTTTTCTTTTTTATTGAGGTATAGTCAGTAATCAGTTATAATATGTCAATTTCTGGTGTATAGCATAATGTTCCAATCATGCATATATTTGTTTTCATATTCTTTTATTCCATCAACCACAAGGATGGTCTAATTAAATAATGGTTCCTATTTTAGGATGATGCATTGTTGTACAACATTTGTCAAATTGATGACATTTTTCAGTGTTGGAATGATATTAATCATAACATTCCTAATAGGGACAACGGTAGGGGACCCGTTTTGGGACATTATTCGGGATCAGATCCTGGGCAAGCCATCTGAAGAACTCAAAGAATGCCACAAACCAAAGCCAATCCTTCTTCCCACTGGAATGGTAACGCATTTTGATTATAATGGTGAAATTAGTGTATAGTTATTTTTAAATTCATGAATTGTCAGATATGAATAGTAGATGTGTGTTGAAGTGTAGATCTGTGTGTTATTTAGATGTTCCCACATCAAATTTTTAATATCAAAAATAGAGATGCTGTGAGTCTAAGAAATAAGGGATATGACTATTAAATATGCTGACTTACATTTTCTGTATCTATAATAAATAACTGAAACAATTAAAACAGTGGAACAGGAAGAATAGATTAACATTTATTTTATTCACGATTCATTAATGTTGACTCCAGGACAAGAGTGAACACAGTTTTTTTGCAGAGAAAAACATCTCAGGTTATTTTCTCATAATTCAGGCAACATTATTAACTAAAGCAATATTCTTTAAATACTCCTCTGGAGCATGGATTTTCATATTCTAGACCTCAAAAGGTCATGCCAGTGCTTATAATATCATGGATTTTTGACACAGAAAAATTTTTAAATATAATTTTTTCTAATATTTAATTAAAATTCTTCAAGGAGAAAAAGGTGGGGGAAATGAAGGAATAGAGGGAACGATTCTACACTAATCTGAATACGATAAAGGATAAATTCTCTTGGAGAAAGCTTAAAAAGTAAGGCTTGGTAACTGAAGATTTAAAGTGCCATTAGAGTAAAAAGAGAAATCATCAACTTGAGCTATTCCAAATGATGTAATTCCTTATTCGTCGTGTATACGATGCTCACCGCAACAATCTAGGAGAACCCTTGGTTATCTGTTACACATTGTGGTTACAATATGACAAATCCACCAAAAACTTCATTGGTGAGAAATTAAGTCCTGGCTAATGGGATACTAGTATTTGGGATTCACATTCTTACTAGATAGAATATTTGGTACTATATCATGTTAGAAAGAAGATCTGTGATAGTAGGATAAAACACCCAAAACAGCTGGAAATATTTAAAATCCTTTAATAAAGGGGAATTTTCTGAGAGCATCAGCTGTCTCTTGACCATAGAAAGAATAATATTCCTAATACAGTTTTCATGTTCTGGGTTCTTAGATGTCAAAACCTCATCCATGGCACCCAGAAATTGTTGATGTTCAGATTATTACTCTTGGGTCCTTTGCCATCACTGCCATCCCTGGGGAATTTACGTAAGTTCCTCTTTTTTATTTTGTTGTCATACATGTAATTACTGTGAATGTCTTTGTGTTGGAATCACTTGTTATTATGGACAGATAATTCTGTGCTGACTCCTTTGTATCTTACTGTGCTGTTTGGCAACAGTGACAAAGACCCTCGGAAGAATAAACCTCTCTATGCGTATTTCTAGTGGGTAATTTGAAAAGTAATTATTTCCTATAAAATATATAAGTGCTTGAAACAATCAATTGAGGTATTAAGAACATGGAAATGTGTTAAATCCACTCTTTGTGTTATCTTTTCTATCTTAGTAAGTAGCAATCTCATATCTTTCCACTGCTCAGGCCCTAAATCTTGGAGTCATCCCTGAATTTTCTCTTTTTCAATTTTCCCCACTTTCAATCCTTCAGCAAATTCTGTATGTTTTATTTAACACTTTCCGTCGTTCCCTGCACCCCCTCAACCTGGGTCTGAGCCATTATTATTTCTCCCTTGGATTCCTGCAATAACTTCCTGCCTCACTTTCTCACTCTCTCCCTTACTCATCTGTAGTCTTTTCCTCAACATTATAGCCAGAGTAATCTGTATAAAACATAAGTTAAATCATGTCGCTGCTCAGATCGCCATAGCTTCCCAGTTCTCCAAGTAAATCCTTAAACCCTTATAACATCCTATAGGGCCCTTAGCAAACTCTCTAATCCAATTTCATACCACTCCCCCTGCTGACCCCTGCTTCATCCACCTTGGCTTCATTGCAATTCCCAGATCACCAAGCATGCTCCTCCTTTAGGGCTTTTTTTTAAGTATCAAAAGATATTTGTTGAGCTTAATTTTCCCCTTGATTATAAAGGTAATACAATGCTTTTACCAAGAAAACCCAATAAAATAAAGAAACAGAAAATAGAATAAAATAATGATCACTGCAATCCCTAATAATAGAAATTATTCCAGTTAACATTTGGTTTCATATCTTATTTTTTTTTTCCACTGAAGCATAGTTGGCCCACAGTGCTGTGTTAGTCCCTGGTGCACAGCACAGCGACCCAGCCATACATACGTACATGCATACACTTATCCCCTTTCACACTCAAGGTACTGAATACAGCTTCCTGCGCCACACAGCAGGACCCTGCCATCCATCCACTCTATATATGGTAGATAGTATCTGCAAGGGCTTTTGAACTTATGGTTCCTTCTGCCCGAAACACTTACCCTCTAGTTACCCCAGGGCCAACTCTGATTCCTTCAATTCTCTGCTTAAAACTCTGACAGAAATGCCAGTCCTGTTTATACTATACAACACTGTGTTCACCCACCAGCACTCCCACCACCAGCACCTCATCACTACAGCATCTGCACTACCACCACCATCACTACCGCGAGCATCACCACGATGACCACCACCTTTCTCTTTCATCCTTATCCTGCTTTGTATTCTCCATAGCACTTACTGTCATCTCACTTTTTTTTTCTTTTTTGCTTGTTGATCACCCCTAGACTGTAAGCTCCATACTGTTGAATCCTTAGCACTTCAAAGTGAGCCTGGTATGTAGTAGATGCCCAGTATTTTATTTAAGGATTAAATGAGTGAATTAAATAAATTCATTGCAGGCAGGGATAGTATACTGTCTACTTATGTCAGCTCTTATTGACATAGAATGCAACCAACTGTTGAATCAATGAATGGAAAATGCGATCTTTTGCTAGTGATATTCATTGATTTTGTCTTTTTCCAAGTTGTCTGTTTTCAGTTTAGGATTTGTTTCAAAGCTAGGACAGTGAGAATGAAAAGCTCAACTTTAACTTGCACACTTTACTACTGTGTGATGACTGTGTGATAACTTTTTGGTTTTCACTACGAGTCTTCCTGTATACCTTGCATACATTCTGAATAGGAAAACACCTAGATAATTCTGTTTTCTTGACTTAGGACCATGTCTGGACGAAGACTTCGGCAGGCAGTTCAAGAAGTAAGTTAAAAATGAAATAAAATATCTATGCATTTTTATTTGGTGAAGAGAAAAGAATTCTATCCCTATGATCTGGTACGTTTTAAATTAATCTTTGCTAAGATGACCAGAGTTTCACACTTCTTGAAAGTGATGGCTGGAATTGAATATGAGATACTGATGGCATCAGAACAAACAAAAAATATAAGGGAACTATAATAGGGTTAAAATATTTTATTTGCACTTTTACACTATTAATTAAAAACTGGTAATGGTTTCATGGATTCAGTAGTAAATGACCACAAGTACATTAGTATCTTAAATTCCTGTCTAAGTAAAAATCTAACACATGTTGAAAATCCTGTATTTTATCTATATTTGTGATTTTCTTTATATTCAGAAGGTATTGTAACTGGTTCTAAAGTGATATAACCAACAAGTGTCTTATTATTTGGAGCTGAAAATAACTACTGTAGCTAATATGCTAGCTAATATATTAGCTAATATGTTAGCTATTATGTTCCCATTATACTTTTTAGGAAATTGATAAAAATATCTATATTTTAGTAATAAGAAGATTCTGCATCTGCAAAGTGCAATCTTTAAAACGTTCCTAGATCCATTGTCTTGCCCAACTGTAGTACAG